GAAAATGCCTTTAAAGACGGTGCGTGATATCACTGGAAAACTGCTTGAAATTTATATAGTCGAAACCTATGCCCAGAGGCATAGACTGACGCGTCCTTTTCTTCGGGATTCCTGCGAGAGTAAACAATCGCTCATAACTCCTTTGGCCAAAATAATTCTGTACTTAATTCCTCCGGGAGATGTTGACCATGTGCGTGCGGCGCGGAGCACAGTTTGTAGACGGGCCTGCGGCCTCTAACCGACCTCGCATATAGAGCATAACACCTTAATCAAATTCATATAACAGTGCCTCTCCACTCACAGGGAGGCCCGTGGACGAGGTACTAGAGATGAACCAATAGAGCCACTAGTGGCAAGAGGACAATAGCAATCGATACGTCGGAGGCTAGATACGGCGAGTAGGACCAAAGACAGGCCGTCATGAGAGAGGAACAGGGTACGAGTCATCGGCGCGACTGGAGCGGGTGAAAACGGTAGCGACCCAGAGGGGCAGCCACGAAGGTAGGAGTCGCTGTTGATGTTGTGGCGTGCAGCAGCCGTGAGCACGTCTCTGCGTCTGGTCTCGTCTCTCTGCCCTCATGGTTGTTGTGATTACTGTCTGATACTCCTATCATGCGGTCCTACTACTGATTAAAACTCTTGTTTTCTCTTTCTTATTCTTTATAGTCTATCGCGTCGTCAATTCTATGTTCTCACATTTATATCGCTCCTCTGTTTCTCTTTTCGCTCCTTGTTCTTCTCCCCCCTAACCATATTAATGCCATACTCTCATCAGCAAAATTAACCCACTTGTGAGATATTGCGCGCACTTTTCTCTTTCTCTTCTCTCTCTCTCTCTGTGTTCTTTATTAGCGAGGCTCTCGCTCGTCCTCACCCACGACTCGTCCTGCTCTCTTTCTGTTTTTTTCTCAGTCTCTCTCTCTCTCATCTCTGTCCTATCTCTACATCTCTTTCGCAATCCTCTTTTTCCCTCGACCTCGTTGTACTCGTTTGTCTTCCCCTACGTCATCTGTTCCGTCTACTGTATAACTGTATACTCAGTCGTCTACCGGGGACGTCCATTACTGCAAGGTGTTTTGCTCCTATTTTCCTTCAGCTCTCAAGTCTCTACTGTGCGCGTACTGGCAATTGTCGTTTCATTCGCTCTACTCTCTCTACTAAGCTATTTCGCACTCTTTTGTCCTTATCTATTGTTCTCGTGGCGGGGTCCGTTCTTGTCTTTCTCTTTTGTTGTGATTCGTTAAATGTGTGTCCTCCAATTCCTTTCTGAAAATAATCTTCCTTTTCGAAGATAATGCCATGCGCCGACTACACTCCTCTCCTCCTCGTTCTTTCTTCGGTCCCTCGTGCAGTGCTCTCTCCCTCTCTCTCTCTCTCTCTCTACTATATATATATATATATATATATATATATATATATATATATTATGATTATAATAGTTATTTATTTATTAAAGTTAAATTGTATATAATATTTGTCTAGACATAGTTATACGCAGCAACCTTTGCGAGTCAACGTCTCTTCATCACGGCCGGCAATTTACAAAAAAAAATATTTGCAAAAAACTCAAAATCACAAACACCGACAATCGCCCAATACATCGCGCCCACGACGTCACATCACACCCTCCCTTTCTCTCTTCTCTCTTTCTCTTCGCAGCTCCTGGCGCGGTAGGTAACGTACGCGCCGCCACGGACCCCGCCTCCCCAAAACACTGCAGCTGACCTGGGACCCTCCGCCAAAAGAAACGGCAACATCACAGGCTACGAGGTCGCCTTTACGGCGGCAAACATCAAACAGTGTGGGCCGCCGCGGCGAGACGCAGACCGTGACCTCTGCCGATTTGAACGCCGACCTTGAGCGACCTGACGAGCACCGGGTACGAGATCTCCGTGGAGCGGAGAACGGAGCCGGGGATGGCCGTCCGTAACGGCGTCGTCGCGCGCGACCCCACAGGGCGGTCAGTTCCACCTATTATACTTACTGGCTTACAGTTGCTGATCGCCGCGATCGGGCGATAAAAATCGCTCGTGTGCCCCTAGCATTACAGTCACCCATTACTATTTACTATTACTACAGTTGCTGTTACAGTCACCCATTACTATTTACTACTATTACAGTTGCTGTTACAGTCACCCATTACTATTTACTATTACTACAGTTGCTGTTACAGTCACCCATTACTATTTACTACTATTACAGTTGCTGTTACAGTTACCCATTACTATTTACTACTATTACAGTTGCTGTTACAGTCACCCATTACTATTTACTACTATTACAGTTGCTGTTACAGTTACCCATTACTGTTTACTATTACTACAGTTACTGTTACAGTCACTTCATATACACTGTTTCCTTGTATCCTTCCCTCCTCGCTCCTCCTTCCTCCCACCTCCCTCCTTTCTCCTCGCTACTCCCTCCTCCCTCCTTCCTCCTCCCTTCTCCCTCCTCTCTCTCCCAATAGACCGTAGCCGCCAATCGTCGCATCATCTGATGATGCCGACACATCATTTGCTGACGCTGACACATATTTTGATGACGTCAGAACGTCATTTTACGACGTCACTCTCCGGTTCGCTTGCAGACGTGGAGGGCCCGCCGGAGAACGTGCGCGTGCTCTACGAGACCCCGAATCGTCTGCGCTTCGGCTGGAGCCGACCGGACTGCATGAAGGCGAACGGCGCCATCTATCGGTACGAATACGAACTAAACTCGACGGAGCCCGTCGCGGCGACGTTCGCGAGCGCAGAAACGCACGCCGAATACGTCGACTTCTTTCGGCCGCAGAGCGACACCACCTACGCGTTCCGCGTGAGAGCGCTGAGCGCGACCGGCGCAGGGCCGTACAGTGACGTCATCACGCGGACACTCGGGGATCCGGCATCAGGTGCGAAATCGCGCGGTAGCCTATAGTGGGATGGTCAGATGTTTGAATTTTGACATTTGTACGAGATTATGAGAGTTATGTAAGCTTACAAGTTTCCCCTTCACAGCGAATTGGCTAATCATTTGCATATACATATGATCAAATCCTCATGTTTTCACCCCCATTATGTTAAACTCGGATCGAATATCATTATGTTAAACCGACCGAAACTCGGATCGCTAAGATCAGAACCTCTATCGTGTGTTTCAGCAACGAGGCGTACCACGCTGACCACGCAACCTGTGACGTCAGGTCCCTCTACACCGACCCCACGACCTGTGACGTCAGTTCGCGTTACGCCGACCCCACTACCTGTGACGTCAGCTCCCATCACGCCGTCCCAGCGACCTGTGACGTCAGCTCCCATCACGCCGTCCCCGCGACCTGTGACGTCAGTTCCATCTACACCGACCCCACGACCTGTGACGTCAGTTCCCTCTACACCGACCCCGCGACCTGTGACGTCAGCTCACGTCACGCCGACCCCACGACCTGTGACGTCAGCTCCCGTCACGCCGACCCCGCGACCTGTGACGTCAGTTCCTTCTACACCGACCCCACGACCTGTGACGTCAGCTCCCGTCACGCCGACCCCGCGACCTGTGACGTCAGTTCCTTCTACACCGACCCCACGACCTGTGACGTCAGCTCCCGTCACGCCGACCCCGCGACCTGTGACGTTAGTTTTCTCTACACCGACCCCGCGACCTGTGACGTCAGCTCGCGTCATGCCGACCCCACGACCTGTGACGTCAGCTCCCGTCACGCCGACCCCGCGACCTGTGACGTCAGTTCCTTC